CCACTCACCTCAGCCTCCCAAGGCGCGGGATTACAGGCTGAGCCACTGAGCCCGGCTCCTCTGTTTTCCACTACCACTCACCTTGTCGGTCCTCAGTCTAGGCCCCTACCTCCCCTCCTCAGGCCGAGGCTTCATCTGCCCTCCTCCATTCTGCAGCTGGTCTGTGCCCCCCCCTCCTGTTCCTGCCATGCTGTGCAGCCATTCTCTGCCTCTGCATTTTCCTCTCTCTGATCTGCAATCTAGTTCCTTTTTGCTGAGTTTGTTCCCCTCACAGATCTGGCCCAACCAGATATCTCAGAGAAACCCACAGTTTGGGTATGCTGCCAACCCAATGAGCGCTTGCCTGGTTGTCTTCTGATTTTTGTCTTTGTCTAGCCCCACTCCTCTCTACTTTTCTGTTCTGTAACGTGGTGAGGGTTTAAAACATAGTGATGTGCTCGCACAGGATCCTTTTTTTTTTCCTATGTTTGATTGGCAGTAGTGGGAAACTGCCAGGGGAGGGAAGGGTGGGATTGGCAGTTGAGGGAAACTGCCAGGGGAGAGAGGGGAACACCTCATCCACACGGGTACCTGCATAATGAGCATTTGTATACCTAAGCCTGAATTGTACCCCACATCTTTAAAAAATAAAAAAGAAAGATGCAAAGAATTGCACAGAAGTTAGATTGGAAAATATAGTTTATTTAGAAAGTAAAATGGAGAAAGAGAGGGAGGAGATTCGCCTCCCCAAGGCAGGAGAGGGGGGTCAAAGCTTAGGAAATCATGGCGGCCATACCTCAAAGAGCCACATGGCCAGACCAGAGCTTAGCAAAGCAATGGCCCGTGTAGGATCCTATGACTCCTGTTCTTTCATTTATTTCGTTAAAGTTACTTTAAAACATGTCTTTAGGGAATATCTAAATGAAGATTTTACATATGGTTTGTGGTGATTTTCTTCCCTCTTTGTTTTACCCCCAAATCACCCGATGGTGAGAAGGTAGATAAAATTTCCTAGTTTTCAATGTAAAAATAGCAGCAATAGAGTAAATACAAATCCAGAATTCTACAGGAAGGCCCAAAGAAGGTGTGTGGGAAGGTTGGTATATTGCAACCACAGGAATTTCTGTGGAGGAGGTCTAGATAAGGGGGACCTTGCTCCTCAGCCTTTGGCAAATGGGTGGTGGTATTTTGGCTAAGTTGTAACTAACTGCTTGGGAAGACAATAGACTGGCTTTTAAGATAACTTTATTTATGAAAGCCAGATACCTTTGAAACTTTTTGTCTCATGAAAAATTCTTGATTAATATGAAAGGATTAACAAAAATGTTTGTTTTTATGAAGAAAAGAACAATTATTTATACTCTATCTTGTTCCACAAAGAATTTGAGCTAGTTTACAAAAGTAACATTCATTACAAAAGGATAAATAAGTAGCTGGTAGAAGTGGGTCAAAGAACCTTTTGTAGAAAAAAGGCTGGAGCCAGGTAAGAGGTTACCATCAGACAGTCTGAAAATGCTTCTCTGAGCTCCCTCCTGTGTAACGCCTTACTGGGCTTCAGATTTTTTCATTTTTTGTTTTTTTGAGTCAGCGTTTCACTGTCACCCAGGCTGGAGTGCAGTGACACGCTCACAGCTACCGCAGCCTTAACCTGCTGTGCTCAGCCTTCCACCTCAGCCTTCCATGTAGCTGGAACTACAGGCATGTGCCACCATACCTGGCTAATTATATGATTTATTGTAGAGCTGAGGGTCTTGCCAAGTTGCCCAGGCTGGTCTTGACCCCCTGGGCTCAGGCAATCTGTTTGCCTCTACCTTCCAAAGTGCTGGGATTACAGGTGTGAGCCACCATGCCTGGCTAACCTTTCTTGATACTGAGGCATAGAGAGATTTCTTTTAGATTCCTGTAAAGTGGCCACCTTGATGAGGAACGTAGTGTTCTGAACAGCTTGCCATGGGAGACAGAGTAGCAGATTTTGTACCGTTTTCTTTTATTTATTTATTTTTTTGAGTTGGAGTCTCACTCTGTCGCCCAGACTGGAGTGCAGTGGCCGCTCCCAGCCACTGCAGCCTCGCCCCGCTGGGCTCCTGCAATCCTTCCACCTCAGCCCTCCAAGTAGCCATAGTTACAGGCATGCGCTATCACGCCCGACTGATTTTTTGATTTATTGTAGAGATGAGGTCTCGCCAAGTTGCCCAGGCGGGTCTCAAACCCGTGGGCTCAGGCAATCCACTCACCTCAGCCTCCCAAATGCGCGGGATTACAGGCTGAGCCACCAAACCCCGCTTGTACCGTCTTTTATTATAATTCACCCATTGTAAGCCACAGGTCTAATGCCAGTGCTCCCTTTGGTCAAAGCTCATAGTAGCTGAAGGAATGGGGTCCAAGGTCACAGCTGTCTGGCTAGCTGACTTGACCGGGGGAAGAATGTGAAGCTGTAGAGGAAGAATAACATCCTAAGCCAACCAAAGTCAGTTGGTTTACAAAAAAAAAAAAGCAAACAACAACAACAACACAGCCAGGCACAGTGACTCAGCCTGTAATCCCGCGCCTTTGGGAGGCTGAGGTGAGTGGATTGCCTGAGCCTGCGGGTTCGAGACCCACCTGGGCAACTTGGTGAGACCTCATCTCTACAATAAATCAAAAAATCAGCCGGGCTTCCAGCTCCTCGGAAGGCTGAGGCGGAAGGATCGCCGGAGCCCAGCAGGTCGAGGCTGTGGTGACCGGGAGCGGCCCCTGCACTCCAGTCTGGGCGACAGAGTGAGACACCAACTCAAAAAAAAAAATAAAAAAAGAAAGTAAAAGATTCATATGCATCTTCTTTGTTTCCCTCCAAACTGATTATGTATTTATTACATTGATAAATAATTGTACATATTCACGAGTACATAGTGATATTGAGATACATACCGATATTGAGATACATACCTTGTGTTGTGATCAGCTCGGTAATTAGCATATGTCATCTCAAATGTTTCTTATTTCTTTGTGTTGGGAAAACTCGTTGTCTTCCTTCCAGTGCTTTAAAATTACATAACATGTTATTGTTGATGTTACAGTTATCCCACAGTGTTGTAGGACCCTAGAGGCCATTCTGCCTACCTAGCTGTCATTTTGTATCCTTTATCAAATTTCTCCCTAACCCTCTCTTCCCCCTACCCTCAGGTGTGACTTTAGTTAAAAGACAAAACTTCTCAGAAATGGATGTGCTTTGCCTTTCTCTTTTCCATGAAGGTTGGGGTGCTTGGGCAGCTTTAATCATGCCACTCCCCAGCCGGGGTTCAGTGTCATGGTGTGGGTACTTCACGTGCTGGTCCTCATTGTGCTCCCCCCACAACACGCACTTTTAGATCGATGTCCTTGCCTCATGGGGTAACCATGGGGCACTGGGTAGATGGCCTGTCATTCGCCTCCTGGAGACTGGAGTTTGCATTCACCAGGCCAGAGTCTTGGTCAGCGAAGAAGCTAACTCCCCTGGGGTTGTCATTGATGAGACTCAGGATGCAAGCGTGTGCCTTCTGGCCCCTTGCCCTGCACTGTGGCCCAGCGGCACCCTGGGACCCTGCACCTCTCCTGCAGGTTACTCTCTGTGCCCTAGGTTGTCAGGATCTGGGTGAAGTCCAATCAAGTGGGTGACATAAAACTAGTCCCATTCCTCAGTGGAGGACCAAAGCTTGGGATCTGGAATCAGACTTCCCAGCGTCAAGTCACGCCATCTGAGTAACCTGGGTCAATGACATAGACTCTGAAATGGAGGTGGCCCAAAAAAACGGGATTGGTGCTTCGAAGGCGAAGGGCTTGGGACAGGGCCTGGTACATAGTATGTGTTCAAAAAAAGTTTGCCATATTATTTAATATTATTATTAAATTCATATCCTGCTGGCAGATTGGGGCATTGCCTTTAGATACTAACTGCAACTTGTCAACACAGAAATTGTTATATGCTGTACTGTTTAAGAAAAGCTAGTGTTATGTGTCCCCAGTTGACACAGGTAGGCATAGCCCTTTAGTTACAAGTTACATTTTTGTTCAGTAATCAGAAGAGATAGATGCAGACACCCATTTGACCTGAAATAGAAAGTCTTTTTTTTTTGAGTTGTAGTCTCAACTCTGTTGCCCAGACTGGAGTGCAGTGGCCGCTTCCGGCCACCGCAGCCTCGACCTGCTGGGCTCTGGCAATCCTTCTGCGTCAGCCTTCCAAGTAGCTGGAACTACAGGCGCGCACTACCATGCCCGGCTGATTTTTTGATTTATTGTAGAGATGAGGTCTCGTCAAGTTGCCCAGGCGGGTCTCGAACCCGCGGGCTCAGGCAATCCACTCACCTCGGCCTCCCAAAGTGCTGGGATTACAGGCTGAGCCACCGAGCCCAGCCAAAATAGAAAGTCTTAAGCATACAGTTTGAGTTGCTCTTTAGAAACAAGCTTGTTGCGGTTCTTTCGGGTAAAAGCTGTCTGATGTGACACTGTACTGACGTCACCCCTGTACATTTTGCCACACCAAGACACACTGTTGTCTCTTACAGGTGGTGAATGTTACCGGGATTGCAGTTGGCACTGGCTTAGCCTCGGCTTGTGATACCCTGATGTCTCAGGTGAGGACCACCCTCCCCTACGTACCTTTTTTGGACAATTACCTTTCATAAAGGAGATTGTCTAGGGAACCATCTGCCGCCCTGTGGGTTTTGTTGCTTTTTGTTTGTCAAATATCGACAGTCTCTGACCGGTTTTTTTTGACATGATGATGGTGCAGAAGCAATGCACGTTCCATGGAAACTGGACTTCAGGTCTCCATACAACCATTTTTACTTTTCACTTCCAGTATAGTATTTAGTACATTACATGAGATGGTCAACGCTTTATTATGAAATAGACTCTGTGTGGGATGATTTTGCCCAAGGCTGGGCTAATATAAGTGTTCTGAGTTAAGGCAGGCCAGGCTAAGCCACAATGTATGGTCAGTTAGGTGTATTAAATGCATTTTTGACTCATGATATTTTCAGTTTACAATTGTGAGGCAGTCTCATTGTAAGTCAAGGAGAATCATTTACAACAAATTTATCAAATTTATGTTTGTTATTTTTATTTTTTTAGAGGCAGGGTCTTGCTATGTTGCTCAGGCTTCTAGAATTCCTCCCACCTCAGCCTCCTGAGTAACTGGGACTACAGGCGCTAGCATCTGACCAATGCTAATGACCTGTAAATACAAGCAGAGGTAGCTTTACTAGTTCCAGTCTCTGGTTCCCACCTGATCAAGGGTATTTCGTCCTTGTTCCTTCCTGTCTGATCTTCTCCCACCCTAAAACCATCCTGTCCTACGCAGCCTCCCTCCTCCCCAGCCCCCCTCCTTCAAGTCAAGCTTCTTGAAAGTGTTCTTTGCATTCCTGGACCCCTCTTCTTGACTCAGTCCCCATCAATGCCTTGTTCATTCCTTCCTGCCAATCCCACTGGGCCTAGTCTCTTCTGGGCCTCTTGTGAGAAAATCCTCAGGTGAGCACTTGACATTCCTTAACCCACTTGGCCATCCCTGCTTTCCAAAGCATTACTCTCAGCCTCCACAATTGATGTTCTTGCCACCTCCCAGGCTGCCCTTCTCAGTCTATGGTGTGTTTTTCGCTTTTTTTTTTTTTTTTT